TCCTTGCTAACTCTGGGTGATCCTCTTTCTTTTGAGATGCTAAGCATTGCTTTATTTCTCAGAAAATACTAGGATGCCTTACACTAAACAATGGCCCTTTCCCATAAAATCATATTAAGATGCTAGTCCTCATGATTCTGAATATGCTGTAAACTAAGCGGGAACACAAAAGTCTACCTTCTGGAATATCAAACCATCAGCGAAATGGTGGAAAAGCAGGTTGGGAGGCGAGGGGGACAATCAAGGTCAAACAAACTTTCTTTCTAAAGCTGCCACAGCCCGCCTGGCACTCTCCAACTGATTTTGATGAGGCCCATCGTCCTCTACTTTAGTGCATGGCAGATGGGGCCGGTGGAAGCTGCAGCCGGAAACATTCTGAAAGCACCAGGTCAGGGAAGACTGTTCCGAGGAAACTTTGGGGAGATGGGTGACAGACGTGAGGTGCGGATGGCAGCCCACTAATGTCCAAGACGGCCATTCTTGGTAGGCACCCTCGGGTGGCCAGGCATTCCCGAGGCCTAAAAATTGCTGGAAGTGTGGGGGCTTTTTCAGACGCAGAATGTGGACCACGAAGAAGCCAGCCAGGGCTTAACACCTCCACCCTCTTTGCTTAATCAATTGCCCAGTATATGTAAGTGCTGGGGGGGGGGGGAAACGGACTCTGAACCCCCGAAGGAGAGTCCAAGCCGGAGAGTCGGGTGCTACAGATTGTGCTCATTGTGTGCCCATTTTATGTGGTTGCGTAGACACTCCACAACCCAGGAAAATGGGAAACCCGTTCCAAACAAGCCCTCAAATGGAGCATTTTGCTGTCATCACCTTTCTTCCGCCGAGGCTTGACCCAGCGGAGTGAGACAGACGGCCAGAGTAGTCAACCTCTCCTCCGGTGTTAAGTTAGCCTCTTGCATCCGGACTTCAAATCTGCAGTTGATGGCTTCGCAAGAAAAGAAAGGTTAACCAACCCGAATTCTCGTGGCTGCTGTGTCCTGTACACGTGTGGTTGGAAACTCAAAAATAAATGCAGATTTTATTGCTTCGACCACACGGAGGCAGCCCTAGCCAGTTTTCCTCCAGAAAAAGGAGAAGAAAAATCCCTTCATTGATGCCAGATGACCTGTTTCCAAACACCCCCACCCTGCCCCCCCCGGTCCGGCTTTTCGATTCACCCTGCTCCTCTCCACTTTCCACAAGTCGATTTAATCTCATTAAAAGGAAATCATCACAAATGGTGCCTTGTTACTGGCTTTTCTGGACCCAAGGGGAAAACGCTCATCAGAGAAAAACGGCAAGAGGCCAGGCTTCTCCAGAAAGCCCCATAAAACCTTTCGGAGGCTGTGTCCCACTGACCTTGGCAGAAGAATTCAGGTTAACAGACGGGCAAAGCTCAGCAAACACTTTTACTTGCACTATATACTATTTTCAGTTAACAGAGGAACAATCTTAGCTTGCTGGAGGACTGTGCGTGTCCTGTGTTTGTAATACAGGAACAAAGGTAACAAGCAGTTTTCGTTAACGGAACATTTTTGCTAGTATCATTTTTTTTAATTTGCAGAGATACCCTTGAAGGTTTTTGAAATCTTGGGGTCTCCAGCTTTTCTCATCACCCATCCCTCTTTGGGCGTTTGTATCGGAAAGTTTGTGTTGCTTGCTGCGGTTAACTGAGGAGAAATATTTCAAATTAATTAATGAACTGGCAAAAGTGCCAGCCGAGCGATGCCTCGCAGGTCCTAGACATGAGATGCCATAAGTTACATGGGACTTTACAGGGGGCACCAGTAAGATGGTTTAAAACCTGGTGCAACAGTTTTTGATTTTGTTTTGTTCTTGCCTGTTATGCTAGCACAGATGAGCACAGCAACCTCATCTGAAACCTTGAAAAGTTGTGTGTCTTTTTGCATTAAAAAAAAAAGAAAAATTGCTCTTTTTCCGCCAAGAACATCTGGGGCCCACTGCGCACACACCCATTTGAGGATTTCTTTGTGATAACACAGAGAGAAAAAGGAGCCAGCGGTTGCTTCTCTACCCCTCTGGTTTGTGGGACCTCGGAGGGACCCTATCTACCAAAGATGTAACCCTTCCTAAGGCACACAATTGCAAATTGGGGGGGGGATCAAACACACCGATCTTCCTCTGCACCCCGTTCTCTGGCAAGGCCCAGAGGGAGACCTTGATTTTCTGAGATCACACAACCCTGGGGGCAAATCTGGGTAATGGAAAGCACTCAGCGGGGACACAGGCCGGCTGGTGTCCTACCAAGTGGGAAGGATCGATGCGACGGGACGATGGGAACAGTGCCAAAACCTGGTGGGAGAGCCAGGCGGGCCTGTGACCCGTCCCAGTTTGCAGCCTGGCAAGAGCAGCGCTGGTGGTTCCAGACCCAAACGCTGGGTCCCCACAAGCCAGGGGCTGAGTCAGCTTGAAACCCCGCTCGGTTTTTCCGCTGAGCACAGCGAAGGGGTCGGCTTGCAAACGAGGACCCTCGGGAGGGAGGGAGGGCCCACGTGCAACCTGCCAGGGGGAGCCCAGGAGAACGAGTCCCCCTTCTCTCCATCCCTCCCGCCCCAAACGCTTGTGGTTTGTCCCCTGGAATCAAACTCATTCTGCAGTTCTCCCTGACACTTCTCTCTCTGTCCTGCTCCAGGGATCCCCTGCTCATCTCCCCTCCCCAGTTCCCCCTCACTTATTTTACCTAGGTTGGCTTCCCAATCCAGTGTGAGACATATTTTAAAGCTCCTCTCTCTCCCCATCACTACCCCCCTCCCCTTTCTTGGCATCTCTCTTTTCTCTTGTTTTTTCCACCAGGCTCCCTTCTCTCTCATCCACCAAGCCACCTAAATTCCATTTTTCTTCTTCCTCCCTTGCCCAGTTCTCCAACAGGAGCCTCCAGCCCCTGCTTCCACTCTAGAAGGCAGACGGCAAGGCTCGGCTGCTCTTGAACCCACAGCTCCACAAGGCCCCCAGCTGGGTTGCTGGAAGGGGTAAGTCAGCAACCTCTGGGGGTGACCCCAAATCTGAAAAGCAACCACTCCAGCCCTCTTCTGCCCGTCACCCGCTGGGTTGCTCAATGGCTGAGGTCTCTCTGGCTGCGGAGAGCCACAGGTTGGGAATTCCAAATCCTCCTCTGGGCCTCCTTGTTAGAGGCTGGACTTGATGATCCAGAGGCTCCCTTCCACCTCTGATGTACCAAGATCGCAGTTAAGTTGAGGATGATAATAGGGTCCCTTCCAGCTCTCCAGCTCTAAGATCTAGGGGGTCTACCCTGCATCTGGAAGTCTTCAAATCAGGCAGGAGCCAGAACTGAACACGAGAACTCAACGATGAGAACCAGTGGTAGGGGAGAGAGAGAGAAAGAGAAACAGAACAGAAGTGAGGCTGTTTTATTGGAACAAAATCAGCACATGAGCTATTCGCATGGGAACCAAATTGAACAGTGGCCTAGGCCTGGGTGGAGTGAGCGCCTCCTCTTCCTTTCCGGACTCGGGAAGCTGTTGAAGGAGCAAAGTTCTCCATCAGGGGAGTCGGGCAGCAGAAAGCACCCTGGGGCTCCGGGCCCGCTGATCACAGTAGCGGAGGCGGCACCCACAGGTTGGAAATGGGACTCGGCCTCCCGGGCAGCAAAAGGCCAGGTGCGGAGGAAGCGGCCCTTTCGTCTTCCAGAAATGTGGCGCGCCTCTCTCTCTTCGTGTGCGTGTGCCCGTGCTCTTTCTCTCATGACGCAAAAGTGAGAGCTGCTGGAGGCCAATGGGCAGGGAATGGGGTCCCCTGCCCCCCCGGGAAGAAAGAGGAAGGGCCACTGGCTTTATTTGGGGGGGGGGCTGGGCCAATCTATAAACCATCCTGGCCTGTAAATGCCAGGAGTCTCTCCCAGGCAATGGAAATCCAAACACACACACACACACCCATCGCAACTCCAGCAAGAGCTTGAGCAGCTCCCATCTGCCTCGGAACAAAGCAGTCCGGCTCAAAGGGTGCAACATAAAGGCAGGGAGTGTGATTTTCAAAGTCTCAACCCTGCCACACACAGAGCCCTGATGTTTTAAAGGCAGGAAAGAGCGCCTCACGAAGCCTGACTAAGGTTTATTCACTTCTCGGAGTGCGTGTATGTGTGTGTGTGTGCGCGCCGGGAGGGCGGGGGCAAGGAGAGGTTGCTGGTTGTTGAATGGCTTCACGGAGGACAGAAATACATATATTTCTGCTTTCTATACGTCTTTTCCTCAGTTCCAGTCCCCTTCACACCCGAGGTTCAATAGGGAGACCTACGGCAAGAAGCCCCCCCAAAGAACAAGCCAAACAAAAACAATACAAAAAAGGTGATAAAGTTAAAACTTTCAAGTTAAAAAAAATGCCTCCAACTGTTTTTTTCCTTTTAAAAAAAGAGAAAATTTTCTTTGTTTACTCTACAGGCTTAAGTTTCTCTTAAAAGTGAAAGCTAACCACTCTTTGTGAGGATGTGCTAGCGTAATTCTCGGTGCAGCAGGCACACAGAGGGGAGACATCTAAGCAAGAGGCTCAGCTAGCCCGTCACCTGGGAGGTGAGAGAGAGAGAAAAGAGATAGAGAAAAAGAGACCAGTTAGAGGGAGGGTTAGCCCACTGCTGCCCTTGGCCTTCCCCTGATCTGAACCCTCCAGGAGTAGGGGTTCAGTACCCCTTAGCTGCTACATGGATCACTCCAGTGGGGTTTCGGTCTCTGGCTGTGGAGCCAAGGTGGGGAGTTCGATTCCCCCTACGGAGTCTCCCTGACAGGGGCTGGACTCCCTGATTCAGAGGGTCCTCTTTTCCAGCTCAGCCATTCTAAGATGAGGATGAGATTGATAATAACAATAATATTAAGGCAGCGCCCCAGGATTCACCTGATGGGGACGACTCAGAATGTGCCAGACGAGGACAAGGAAGTGAAAGAGGCAACAGCCCACAAAGGGATCTTTATGCCATTCCGGACGAGCGCGATGAAGCTCAAGGACCAGCTGATCTCGGCGGAGAGGGTCGTAGGTTTCTGACCGTGTGTCCCACTCACCCATCTAGAACGGCCTTATTCAACTCTTCTTTCCTGCTCCTGAAACCAGTTATTCCATCCACAAGTCTGAGCGAACCGTGGAGAAAATTCTCAGCAACTGGCCAGCCACATTTTTGCTCTGACTTTATCATGAATGTCTATGTGATGGGAGTTTTCCCAATTCTATCTCCAGAACTTCCCTGTAAAGTAAGACTAGGCTGAACCAAAACCACCCAAGGGAGTAAAATGCCATGTTTCAAGCATGATTCAAACTCTGGTCCTCTGCTGCACTCCAGCGCGACCACCTCTCTCGTGGGCTGGCAAAATACGCTCACCCTCCCAATGTTCATCGCCCTTGGTTGTGCTGGCAGGGAACGATGGGAGTTGGTCCCTGAGCAACGTGGGGAAGGCCATCAGGATGGGAAAATGTAACTTGGGCCAACTGAGAAGGACTAAGCTCCTAAGAGGAGAACTGTCAGAGCCGTTTACTGAGCCGGGGAAGACTTGGAGGATAGGCCAAACTTTGGAAGGAGCTACAAACGCCTCCCCCCCCCCCGAAAACGGGGCTCTCTCCCCACCTGGCTGTCGGCTTAGTTGGCGTTCCTCTGGCGGATGTTCTTGTCCTTGTGATTCGCAGCGTTGCTCTTCCTGTAGGCAAAAGAAAACCAACAGGGCCCGTCAGGGAGCACAGAGGCAAGCAGATGACTGCCCCGCTCAACCGCCACGGGATGAAGTACGGGAGGCAGGCCTGGCTCCTGTTCAACAGCCGTTTGGGCCACGGCTCTAGTTCAGGAAGCAGCCACCAGGGTCTCACAAGGAAGGGCTGGCCGGGCACAGCCAGCGCCCGCCCAGCATCTACACCTTGGTCTGAAAGGTGTCCGGCTTTTGACCAAGAAAGGCAGGATGTGGCCCTTAGCCTTGCGAGATGAGGCCGCTTCTCCTTTGTATTTGCAAGCTGCATGTTTTTCATTTCTCCTTGAACTTCTTGAGAAACCAAGAACGCCACACCCACCCACTCACCCACCTTCCCCCCCCCGCATACTAAGGGCTGATAAGTGGGTCCCTGACCCTGCTAGGAAGAGAGCCAGTAGCCAGCTGGGCAGGTGGACGGCCTTTCATGCCCAGTTTTACTCTCAGGGCCCGCCCAAGAATGGCATCCCTGCTCCTGGCTCGCAACCCAACCCCGAACAGAGAGGGCCAGCCTCCCTCAGCGCCCTTTGGACTCTTCCCCTCTTTCTGTTTACAGTTACTCGGTCCTTCTGCCCTGGCCAGGAGGGCTGAAATGAGCAGCCCACCGACCTGCAGGCATTTGTCAGGAACCACGTGCTTCCCTGTGGTTTCTAAGCGCTTCAGAGTCCTGGCTGTTCCATCTCTCCACCTCCCCCCCATGAGACACCTCTGGAGCTTTAAGGAGCCCATCGCTGTACTTACAGAGGTGCGGACCCTCCATCGTCATCTTCAAGCCGAGGAAGGCACAGGCAAGGGAAGGAAGGAAAGCCATGGTTAGAAAGTCAGTTCCGTTGGACTGGCACCCACTGGGCTCTCTCGGCCCCTGGACCACCTTCGCTTGGTCCCAAAAACTCTCCCTGCAGAATCTCTCCTAAAATTGCGAAGAATCCTCCACAAATCTTTACAAGAGTAGAAAACCCCCCGCCCCCGCTGAACAGGTCACCTGCCACTGCTTCTGAGGGTGGCTTGACATAATATAATGTTTCTCTTTAACAACTTTGTCACGTTCAACATGAAAGTGGCTGAGCCAACCAGCCGCTGTGGGTGCTGTTTACCCCTTTGAATGGAAATTTAAACCGGCACAAGGACAAAAACCAAAAGCCACGCTTGGGAACACCCGGAGCAAATGTGGCGCCTTGGCATTCTGGCTTAACTCAAGAACAGGCCTGAGAGCCTGGGGACGCTGCTGTATGGGCTGAAAAGAGAGAAACGGCTGCGGGAATCTCTCTGGAAATTACAGCCAGGCGATAGGTACTATACTTAAGCCACCGGCATACACACCCCCGGGGCAGGTTAAGAGCAGAGGGGTTGACCAGGAGGGCTACAAAAGAAAGCTGTGTTCAAGCGTCCACACCTTCATCTTGTGGCTAGGATAGGTTACATGGGTTACTTCTTAAAACTTTTCATATTTTAATCAAAACTGTATTTTTTCCAAACCAAAATCTTCTATCAAGTTGTCCACCTGCATGCCGCTGGTTAGCGTCAGATCTCCCCGTACTGCTGAGTATTCCCCTTCACTATCTTCAAGAGAGCTAACCGCTTTGGGCCGGGTTAAGGTTCAGAGCAAGACACCCCAGCTTTGAGGGTATGGCAGGTTTAGAGCCCCAAACCTGTAGGTACGTACAAGCAGGCAAGCAGGGGGAGGCTCCAGAGAAGGCAGAAGCACACGCACAGGCTCCAGGTTGGGGCCTGTGCACTGCAGGGCGACTGGAGCGCGCAACAACAGCAGCAGCAGCAGCGCGTGGCCTTGGGGAACCAGGCGCAGACAGACCCACGTAGGCCTGCCAGCTTCTCGGAAACAGGGAAGCGGCCCATGAGAGAAGACAGCCCAACTTCTCTCTTGCATACATGCACCGCGGGCTACATCCTGGCGCTAGAACTGGCACACGGCTGCCCTAGACGGATCACACAGAGCTGGCAAGGAGACTGACATGGTGGGACAGCTGGGTTTGGCTCGTAGACTTACCGCAAGAAAGAGACACGCAGCAGGAGAAAGAAGGAAGAAAATGCAAAGATAATGCCAAGGAGGGGGAAAAGGCCCTCCTTATCCACTGGGGTTCTGCCCAGTCCATCTCCCCACCCCACCCCGCTCACTTCCGATGGAGAGCGAGCCTCTGAATTAAGAGTGACCTCCCAAAGGCCCTGTTGTTAAAAGCCTTGCTCCCAGATTGCAAATTAAAGCTTCTTTTATTGACTCACTGCCTTCCAGTGGAACATCAAAGCAGGCTGGGGGGGGGGACGGACAGCAGCCCAAGTCTTAGGTATCAAGTACAACAAAACAAAACAAGGCTGTTCCCATTGTGCTTCCCATTTTTGGCTATGTGACACCAGACCACTCTTCCCTCAAGACCCTTAAAAGGGGACAGCTGGGTAACATCTGGAAGGCTGCGCTTTGCTTCCCCCCTTGCCAAAACAGAAACCGTAGAAGATCTGAAAGGCTTTGGGTAATGCACACTCACTGGGTGAAAACACCTGTCTGACTTTATATTTGGCAGGACGGGCTGCCCCCGCTTGGCGGAATGAGCCAAATTAGAACCCCTTGACATTGTGAGAGGGTCTGCTCGGTCTTTGGGTTGTCCTTCCCCACCCGCCCAGCTAAAAGGGCACTTTTCACGTTTCAAGCAACCAACAAGGGACCTGGCAGCCTTTTGGTCTCAAGAGGAGGGTGTGAAAAATGCAAGTCTCGCTGCAGAGACACCCGAGGCCCAAGCCTCCAGAAGACCTCACTGCCATGTCGCCTCAATTTCTGTCTACAGTTTTTCCAGACTGTCTGTGAAGGAGGCAGCCTGAGGAAGTGGATTTCGTCCATGAAAGCTTGCTGTTTGACTGAGATATATATATAGAGAGAGAGAGTGGTCCAATAAAAGGTGTCACCCACTCTTGCTACTGGACGGTCAAAATATGCTCCTCCAGAGGTTGAACTGCGGTGGAGCCAACAGGGAAGAATCCTAGGAGAGCTGTCCCCCAACAACATCTGGAAAGCCCTTCCCGATCTCAAGGTGGATGAAAACCACGGATGGATCTTAGAAGCCCGCTCTGCTGGGACAGGGAGCAAGGTAGCCCTTTCAGGATTAGGTGGTGCGATCCATCCTTTGGCAAAGAATTAGGGAAAAGGACCCTGTTTCGGAGGACCCCAAAGCCTCCTGGTCTCAGGTTCCTGCCTCTGAAAGCTGATATGCTAATAGAGCCTCTCTCTCAAGCACGCTCGTTTCGTCCTCCTCTCCTTACCGTCAGGGACCTCGTTGGGCTTTCTCCTCTTCTCATAGATGAAGATGATCGTCACCAGGACCAGCACCTCGGCCACGATGCCCAGGAACGGCCACAGGGCTGCCAGGCGGCTGCGAACCCGCAAGCTCACCACCGCGCTCCCTTCGCCCAGCTCGTTGGTGCCGTTGCACATGTACTCGCCCGGGTCCTTCTCGAGGTCCAGGGAGACGATCCGCAGGTCCGTCCGGTTGCCTTCCGACTTGATGAAGAACCGCTCCTCGGAGCCGTTGACGATGGGCTGGGCGGAAGGAAAGAAAGAAAGCCATCAGATCTGTGTGCCAGCGTGAAAAAGAGAGAGTGTTCCCGAATACCGGCCTGTCTCTTTGTCTGTGTGTTTGTCTCTCTCTTGAAGAGCAGCTCAAACTTTGCCCCTGTGGGAAAGCCAAACCATTTGCCACCAGACCATCTCCGAAGCCAGGTGCCGGGGACACTGCGAATTGACTGGGGAAGCCGTTCCTGCTTCACAGAGCCAGGGAAGAACCTCCACCCCCACCCCGTGTTTTTGTGCAAGAATAAAAGGTTTCGCTTCCACCGGGACGCTCACCTCCGGCACGTTATCCACCACCTTGAACCAAGACCACTGGGTGACAGGAGGGTAAGAGTGGCTTTTGCAGGTCAGCACGCCTGTGTCCTTCTCGTTCCCGTGCTCTGACTTCTTGTAGGCGAAGACATGGGGCTTAACTGCAAAAGCAGGAAAAAGGAGGAGGAGGAGGAGGAGGGGAGTGGTGGGGGAACCACACATGGGGGAATGACAGTAAAGAAGGGTCAGGGCAGGCTGCTGAGCAAACTGTCACACACAAAAACCCGATTGTCGTTTGCCACTTATTGGACAACAACCAGTGCTTATTAAGCAAGGATTGACCAGGTAGAACTAGGTAAGAAGCGCCTCCAATGGCAGCCAGAGTGGCCAAGCCTGGTTGAGAGGGGACTTGCGGTCCAGCCCATCCTGTGTCAACAGAGTTCCCTGCAACTTGGCCTTGCTCAGACTGACAGGGTCTTGTGACTTTCCTGCCACCTGTTCAAGGCACACTTCTTATCACTGCATCAACCCTGCGAGGTAGATCACAGAGAGAGAGAGAGAGAGCCAACCCTGCGAGGTAGATCACACAGAGAGAGAGAGAGAGTGACCAAGGTCACAATGGGCGACTGGACGACCCCTTCGAGACCGGCGCTTGGATCTCACGAGGGCTGGTCCAACACCACGGCCGACGAGCCAGGAAATATCCAGCGGACTGTATTCTGGGATCTCATTTCAAGTGTGGAGGAACATAAAAGTGCTGTGCCCCCTCGCGCCCCGAAGCAAGTCGCCAGAACACTTAACGTAGTCCCGTCCACACTCACTGGCAAAAGTTATTTTGGGTCTCGAACTTTCCCAGCCCGGCTTGTAGAGCCTGGGGCTGGGAAAGTTCGACCGTCTGTGTGAATAATGGGGGCTCTGCTGTTGCCTTCTGCTTCCCAGTAGGCCCAGGTGGGTAAATGGGTGCCTCCACCCTCCTTTGGCTATTCAGTGTGGCAAATGGGTGGGAAAGGCAAGCGCCTCCTTTCCTGCTCACGAGCGACAGCAGAGGAAGAGAAGCAGTTCAAATGCCAAGCCTCCCTCTGTGACCCACCAAGGAAGTAGGGAAGAAAAGTCCGACCATAGATCACCTTTCACGTAGACGGTCGCTCTTGAGATGGGAACGGTGTCAAAGACGCAGTGGTACTCTCCCGAGCTTTCAGGGTCCACTTTGGCAATCCTGGAATGAGAGAGGAGTGTGGGAGAGTGCCATGAGCAGAGTGCATGCCATGTGACCACTCTGGGGGTCACATGGGGGCACCTCCGTACCTCGTGGGAGGTTATGATGCCAAACCGAGTGCCCCGAGATCATGTAGGACTCCAACTCCCATAATCCCTCACACCTTTGGGAAGAGTTGATGGAACTGCAGTCTGACAACCACTGGAGGGGCACGCATTCCCTCCCCCCCCTTTATAAAGAAGGATGGGGGAAACCTTGTTCCCCTTCCAAATCCCACCCTTCCCAGCCTGCACAACCAGTGATTTGGCCCTCAACCACATCTGGAGAGACCCCTAGCCTGACTGCAAACGACTAAACCCCCCCATGTGGTGTGATTTATTTTTCTACAACCTTTGAGAACAGGCACTGAAAAAAAAAGAAGAGGTAGGGAAGGAGTTGGCAGGGGGCCAGCCGCCACAGGCCGCCCGAACGTCCAGCTTCTCTCCGGAATGAAATTCCTACCAATGCTTTCAGGGGCTTTAAAGCACAAAGGGAGAAAGGCGTGCGGGGGGGGGGGGGGGGGGAGAGAGGTAATCCATCCTGAGCGGAAGAGGTAACCCTAACAGGGACGTCTCAGTTAGGAAGCTTGCTCTGACCGGACTCCATGGATTAGCTGGACCTCCTGAGGGAACATAAACACACCCCATTCTTTTGTAGAGGGGGGAAAGTTGGGGGGGGAGACTTAGTTGTGGGGCTGGAAGAGCTGTGAGCCCTTGTTACGGAAGAAGGGTGAAGGCCCTGCTCGGTTAGGCTGGCCAACCTTCCGGTGTCTCTGCCTCTTCGCAACCTGGAGCCCGGATAGAAAATTGAGGGCAGACACGGGAGACTGCAGGGTGAGGGAGTGCTATATATAAATACTTTAATCCTTTCTCATCTCCCGGTTGCTATGGGGAGAGAGGCACGTCGGCTCAGCCGCGTGGAAAAGGACGTGACGCCTGCCCAGCTCGCTGGGCCTCTGCCAGCAGAGAGACGCAGACGGGAAGCCAGGAGATATCAAACAAGGGCGATGTTTTCGGTTTAACAATGGGAAGACAAAAAAGGCTGGCTGTTCGGCCTCAAAGCGTACATGGACAAGACGGGAGGGACAGGAAGGGGGTGGAGAGGAGGCAGAAATCCTCCCACTGAGACCAAGACTGGTGGGCAAGAGAGCCACAGCTGGCCACAGAGGGCCCACCCAAAGTCTAAGGCAGGGGTTCCCAACCTTGGGTAACTCAGATGTTCTTCCGATTCAAGCTCCCAGAAGCCTTCCCCATGAGCTGCCCTGGTCAGGATTTCTGGGAGCTGGTCCCAGGACATCTGGGGGCCTCAGGTTGGGAAGCACTGGTTTAAGAGGCAGACTGGCTTGACTGGACTTCTCCAGGCACGCAGGTCTGCACCTCTGCCTCGTGTCTCTAGCGCAGAGCATTATTCTTCAAGAGGGACAGGCCGGCGGTTTTGTCAAGGGCCCAAACACTGTGTGACACCCTTCGTTTCAGTGAAGCGTCGAGGGATAAATAAACCTTCCCTGGGTTAAGTGCTTGCCAAAAACCAGATTCCAGCAGCACAGCTACTTGCCCCCAGCAGGTTCTGAGAGGTCAGGAGAGAGATGGGCACCGTTGTGTGCTTTCTTGCCCACAGGAAAAGCCGAGGAGTGCCCCCCCCATCTCCCTTGCCAGACATCAGCTGAAAGAGCCAGAGAGCGCCGTCTCCCACCGTCCAGAGTCTGGGACTACCTGTACGTGCTTCCCTGACAAGAAGTCCCATTAGATACAATAGGTCGTACTTCCAAGTAAGCGCTCTGAAGGAGAAAGGGAAACGTCCTCGGCCACTGCCAACGTGGCCTCTGGCTTCTGCAGGGAGTCCCCAACACCGAGGGGGGTGATTTTAAAATTATTTTTTTAGGTGGCATCAGCACATTCAAGGATTTGGCAAGCCAAACAGTCATTAAAACAGGGGTCAATGAAACCCCAAGCCATGTTCCAGCTCCAGAAGAGGTGATCGCAGGCTGCCTGCGCCCTTCTGGATCCCCAGAGATCAAGATGGTCTGCTTTATCTCTCTGCTATAGGCGAGCCAAGCTCCTTGGGCTGCAGATGGAGGCAAGGAGGTCTGTGCACAGGGTGTGGAAAGGGGCCCCCCTTCAGATTAGGGGGCCCTCCCGCCTTGACTGTTCCCGCTGTGAACTGAAGGTGTGACTGACTGCTCAAGCGTTCTCCTGATGATTCAAACGGTCAGCCATACTGGCCACCCTGGGCTTCTTTTTAAAATGAATCGCTGTAATGGATTCTACTGTTCTGACTGACCAGTTTTAGCATGCATTGTCACCTGCAAATTACTTTAGGATGTTTAAGCACAGAAAGTCTCTGAACAGAAACAAATGCTTCTGGGGAAACAATGCCGCTCCGAGATTCATCATTTGGAGCAAATGCCTTGGCCTAGAGTTACCTACATGTATGAGGTGAACCCCAAAGCCGTCTCGTTCGAATCCAGCCTCGTCTCCCCCTTCATCCAGTAGTGGCTTTTGATGGGTGACGGTGGGTCAGTGATGTTACAGGAAATAACCACATTTGAGCCAGACGTTACTTCTGGAGTAGATGAGATCTGAGGTCCTGTTGTTGTTTTGAGTAGAAAATAAAGCTCAGTTAGGACAAGGCAGCCGAAACAGACTCCTTCCAGCTTTCAAGGAGAGATAAAGGACCCCTAGGCGTCTGCTCGGTTACCTGTATACACAGAAAGAGCAACTTGCTTTTATACTTTTGTGTCATTATCACCAAAACCAAAACGCTGAGGCTGCAAACCAGGAGTGGGAACCTGCACTCCCTAGTGAGCGTTAAAGGAGCTTCCACTCCACCGTACCTCATGTTACACATACCAACTTTAAACAGAGAAATTGGGGTATGTGCGTATGACAGGATTACGAAAAACATGGGAGTCAAACAAAAATATGCAACTGAAGGAGGGGCTCCAGGAAAAGTTTCCACTGATTAAGAAATGGAGCTGCCTGCATCTTCATTGCTCTATATCTTTGGCTGGGTTTGCTAATATTTCAGTCAAAATAAAGACTGCTCAAGAGATGGATGGAAATCTGGCCTGTTTTTGTAAGATGTTCTTACACAGTGTGGGTCTGAGGTCCAGGGAGGTATGAGATACGGCCCTTGCAGGCACACCCTTTTCCCCGACGCAGGCTGGGCTGTCAAGGGCTTAAAGAGGTTGCCACCCAAAGGCATTGGGAGCCAATTCACATGGAAAAACATGGCAAGGTCCCTTTGCCCTCTCTTGAGCAAGGTCGCAACAGCAATGAACGTTCTCTGTCTCGGCCAACCATCACACCTGGGAATTCCATTTAAAAGTGACTGCAAACTTTTCCCTCCCCTCGTCAGTAACCAAGTCAAGTCAAGCCAAGCCTCTCCCCCCCCCAAACACATCTCCCCAACACCCTCTCCCACCAGCAGGGGAACCACAGGGCTGAAAGACATTCTTGAGACTTTCCCCCAAGCAATAATTACACAATCATTTTAAAGCAGGCTCAGGTCACCCCCAGGGGACTGACGGGCATGCTGGACAGTACGCAGGCATCAGAAAGGGCCCCGGGTATTGCACAACTGTCACCTTGCGTGGCCCGAGCAGGCACCCTGCAACACACTCGACTCTCTTCTGCAAGGCGACAGAGAGCTTTCACGGATGTTCTCATTAAGGAACCCTCGGCAATCTTTCGAGGGCCCTCCCGGGTTTCCTGGAAACAGATGTGAAAAACCCGGACAAGAGGACCCCGTAGCGAAACAGCAGGGGTTGTCAAATACCCAAACAGAGGAATGTCACATCCAATTTGTTAGCTCCACATTTCTGTCATTACAGCAAGCTGTTTCCTTTTGCTGATGGGAAGCCTGGACTTTCAGCTCTGCACGAGGTAAGGAGAAACAGGGTCAGGAAGCTCATCAGTCACTCCACAGCACACAACAACTAAGCAGGCTATTGGTGTTGCAGAGAGAGTACGGCCATTTCAAAAACGGTTGCAATCACGAGAGGCCAAAAACCCGGAGGGTTTTAACCCACCCCACCACGTGTGCCCCTGAGCAACCTAGGAAAGCATCCAAGCAGCAAGACTCTAAACAGAGAGAGAGAGAAAGAGAGAGAAAGAGAGAGAGAGGTATATATGTGCAGGTGTGCATCTAGGAAGAATTGGTAACAGCCAAAGGGAAAAGACTGGGTTCACTTGTGGCAGCTGGACACGGAGCCAAGAGGCTTGTTTTGGCAATTCTTGACAAGAAGACCCAAGGGAAAAGGGCAGGGTTTGTTTTTGTTTTTTTAAAAAAGCTCTTTGGGGTCTACGGGATCGGCAGGCGGTGTGGTTGCATGTGCAGGTGTACATCTAGGAAGAATTGGTAACAGCCAAAGGGAAAAGACTGGGTTCACTTGTGGCAGCTGGACACGGAGCCAAGAGGCTTGTTTTGGCAATTCTTGACAAGAAGACCCAAGGGAAAAGGGCAGGGTTTGTTTTTGTTTTTTTAAAAAAGCTCTTTGGGGTCTACGGGATCGGCAGGCGGTGTGGTTGCTGATATGGTAGTGGTGGGGAGTTACAACCCTTTTTGAGTAGGGCCAGAGCAGGTCATTCACTGACGGTGGGGAGGATGGGGGAGATCTCTCTGCTTTCTACACAGGGGAGGTGCGGTGGGTTCTCACAGGGAACATGGGTGAAAAGTGGGGTGGGAGGGGGGCACAGAGGTGTGACAAAGCTTGAGACCTCGCCGTGCCCAAGCAGACGCCAACACCCGGGGGGAGGGGGTTGGGCACTCACGCTCAATGACAATCACGTTCGCCTGGGAACGGATCCACTTGATTTTGGGGCTCTTCGACAAATGGTTGCGGTCGGGGTCATTGCTCGCTCGGCACTCGTACGTGCCCGAGTCGTTGAGCGTGAGGTTGGCGATGGAGATGGTGCTGGTGGAGTGCTGCTTGTAGGTGGCGTTGATTTTGACCCGGTCCTGCCAGGCCCCGTCCCAGAGCTGGATGGCCGTGTCGTTGGGATCAGCCCCCTCGTACCACCACTGGATCTCGGGGATGGGGCTGCCGACCGCCTCACAGTAGAGTTCCACGCTGTCGTCTGTCAGCTGCTTTTGAGAGAGCGGCGACTTTATAAAGCCAGCTACGAGTTGAAGAGGGGGGGTAGTGCAAAGCGTTAGTGGAAAAGAGTGCAAAGAGGTTAGCAACAGTAATGGTACTTCAAGAGACACACTGGAGACGATTGCTTCTGTCACAAGAGGGAACGACCCAAGAGTACGGAGGGCCTGACCCACAGCCTCCCTCCCCCTCCCTAGAAAGTGCTTTGATTTCAGAACAGGCTGGAGAGGACCAAGCTCCCGCTCATGCCCTTCCTGCTGATATCAGAATGTCCCAAGGGTACGGCTCTGCTTATATATGGGTCTAGAAGAAAGAGGAGGACAGCTCAATCTCTGAGACATCATCATGTCCATTCCTTTGCTCTTCCTTGTTGTTAAACCTCCCCACCGTGGAGACAACCCACGGTCTCACATTTAAGGAAGCACTGACTGGTTTAGGACAGAGAGACCTGGTTACTGTGTCCTTCACTTAAAATGTTTTGACGGGCTTCAGAAACAGCCACGGAGCCTTCCAACACAAAAAACTTACACAAGCTGGTCACGCTTCAAGAACAATGTGTAACCCCTCAAGGCCTCGCTTTCAAAGATGGATCTTGTACGGCAGCATTATATCACTTGGGGCGAACGCAACCATGGCTGAGGAAACTTGTATATGAACAGCCATTTCTGGACATTTTTCATAAATTAAAACCCTTTGCTCTTCCCATGAGAGATTATTTCCAGCAGCGAAATAATGAGGGGAATCATGAGACAGACGTCTTTGCGTCAATTGGTCACACACACACCCACTCTTGATGCGTGCAGCTTGCTTCCTTCCATTTTAGAGGTATCTGCATACAAGCAACAGAAAGGAGCAAGGGGTGAACTTTTTCAAGGCCTATTACCCATTTTTAAAGACCTCACAAACTTATTTTTCAAAATCTCTCATACAGTACAAGCATCACACCAGCCCATTGCCTCTATCCTTTTCTGCAAAACCGGGGGGGGAGCACTCAATGTGCATCTCGGGGCTTCCACCCTGAATCTTTTCAGCACTGTCAACAGACGTTACGCAGCTTAGCCATTGTCCATATGGAAGAGTTTGCTCTCACAGAACAACCGTCCGGTTCTTTTTTCCAGGCATGCCAAGTACACGGACAAAGGCCTTTCGCACAATGGCAGAGTTGGCGCATGAAACAAGGGCGAGTGTCCCCGTGTGCACTGCGCAAGAGAAACAAGCCTTTCTTTGCTCACCCTCGCGTGGCCTATGTGGTCAGCTGACCCCAATGAGGATAATATCTAGCACATGCCTGGGCCAGAGTGACTGGGGAGCATTGTGTGGGGCCCCTTATTACCGGCGTATTTAATAAACTCTCTCTCCAAGCTCCTCGGTGACATAAACCTTTGGCCTCCTTGGGTCTCTCAGCAATGGAATTGCAGGCATATGGTCTCGCAAAATTTAGCACATGACCTCAGTAAAGAGTCCAGAGAATATATACTGTACATATATAAAATCACAGTCACATTTTTCTTTTTACAGCAAATGGGTGCAAAGTCCACTTTACTAAGTTGTGCGTACACAGCAAGGAAGTACCAAGACACAAAACACTGTAACTGCAGGTCAACAGCACCCACAAGTGGGAAACGCCTGGTCTAAAGAAGTCACAAGAGGGACTTGATATGGAAACTGAATGTCTTTATTGAAAGTATAAATCACTCAGTTATTCTGCCTGGTGATGCTGGTGCTGTAAAAGATTCGAAGAAAGGAAGGGAACGCCCCTACTAAAAGTGGGCTGAACTAAGCACACCCACTCCCCCAAAATTGAGAGCTTGTTTTCATTTTTCCTCTTTCTAAATCAGAACCAAGAGCTTCCATTTCTTGGCCACCCAGGACTGAAAACTTCCCTTCGTTAAACTGGAACAAAGAAGCTACTGACGCAGGTCCAGGGCGTCCTGCATGCAGGTTCAGACCACTGCCTTGCATGCGTAGTTTGGACCACTAGGCGACAAGGCAGAACTCAAGGCAACATGTGCAAAGGCCCTCAAACAGTCTCCCATTCAGGGACTTGCAATCATTTCCTTAAAGCCGAAATACATCCTATTTCAAAATCTTTCCAACATTGCTCATTAAAAAAAAAATTAACATCAGGTTTCAGGGACTGCACCCTGCTTCTTTGGACGGAAGTAGCCCACAGAAGCTTATACCAAATGATGCTTGTTAGCCACTGAGACTCGTTGGGGTGTAACATTGGATGTCGGGAGTCACCTTGTGAAATGGCTTGGCATCCCATTTGCAAGAGACAAAACAAAGCCCTGCTTCATGGAGTAGGTGGAAGTGGCTGCTATTCACAGAGTGTGACGATGAGCACTTGGTTTTGTAACTTGGGGGAAAAAAGCTGGTGGGGAATGACACCAGTGCCTCCTGGTTCATAGGAAGTGAGCCATTCAGGGGTCACTGATGAAAAAGCAACAGCATGTTGGAAATCGTTGCTCCTGAGCTCTCCGTGGACATGTCAGGGAGCCGTGGGGGCAAGATGAGGCAGGAAGGAGGGAGCTGAGGTATACTGAGTGAGGCTCTGCTGGCAAACAGCAGGGCAGACAGGTTTCGGGAGAGGAATTGGAAACAGCATTCCCCACGGGGAGACGGCTGTGGGTGGAAAGGAAGAAGACCTACTTGGATCTCCTCGCCACTTTAATAAAATAATTTTTAATGGATCTGTGCCGTGCTTCTTCAAAAATGAGATTCTAGGGTTTAAAAACAAACCCAGCAGCATTTCATAGTTAAACTAGCACGATCGTCTTTATCTGTGCCTGCTTTTTCCCCAAACACATTTTTCATCCATATGTTTGGTTCAGTTTTACCTTGGGTCCAAATTCTGGGAGGAAGTCAATGTACAAATCAAACATACAAATACATTTGAAGAAAAGGGGTCCTTATGTGGTGCTCACAGGGTGTGTGTGTGTGTGTTCTCGCCTACAGCTTTCTACCCACATCACGATGGGAATGTGGTGAATTTTTCAAGACCTACAGCCCGAGATGCACAGCTAGCTTTCCCACAGTGAGAGAGTAAGGTTGGTACCGGGTAGCCTGGTCAGGCACTTTGAAGCCAGACACGGCAATTAAGCCAAAAGGCATATGGAGATGTAACTGCTTAGAGTTTTTGTCTCTTCCACTTTTAAATGTGACTGATCAGCAACTCCACTAGTTAGGAGCCATCCCACACGAAGACCACAGCAGAAGTTTAGAAAAGCTTCTCTGCTCAACTGCTGGAAACATTCCCCCCCCTCCATTTTCTCACCATCCATTTACAAGCCTAAATGAAAAAAAAATCTGCAGGAGGACCTCCCGACCAGAAATAAGCAGCTTATACAGTATGACTTTCTCACACACATTTAGTTTTGTGCGTTCAAGTTCCACACCCTAATACTGTTTAAATCAGAGCAGCTCCTTGTACAGATTTAAGCCTGTACTTATAAAGTAGTTCTGAAAAATTTAAGTCAAGAAGGATAAGAAATATCATGCCTGTCCTTGAACCTTTCCGGGTTTGGGGGTCTAGGTAAATGATGTACTTCCAGCTTCCATCACCTACTGCAATATTTTCTGCTGGAAGCCAAACTCTTTGTCAAGGTGGGCAGAGACTTACAACTTACAGCTAACATTTCTCAGATCACAGCATGAAATGAACAAAATAAACTTAGAAAGCCAGGCAGATTACCACAAAGTCTCTTGCACACAAGAGATATAAGGAAACCAACGACTTCTTTCAAATTTTTAAAGGGCAGTTTTTATTTAAATCCAATTATTTTCACTGAAATAAAAGGGATTTAAGCAGTACCAAGCAAGTAAGTTATTTTGCTTGCTTGCTTGCTAGCATACTGTTTCAATCCTTTTTGTTTTCTAAAAGCTCCAGTGGTTAGAGTTAGAGTTTTAGCTCAATCAAAGAGCTCATTACAAATGACAAATGCTAAATCTGTATTGGGAAACAAGAAAAAAAAACAACTCTTTTTGTAGAAGCTTTTCAAATTGGGTCTAATAATTCCTGGACTGGAGCATCGATTTTAATGCAAATACAAAAACAGGCTGTGACGGACACAGGCAAAACCTTTATAGACCACTAAAAAAATATCGCCCTTCACGGATTGCTGCCTTGTTGTGTGAAGGGGCTTGAGTAATTCAGAGAAGCGATGGGCTATGCCGTGCAGGGACACCCAAGACAGACAGGTCATAGTGGAGAGTTCTGACTCAACGCGATCCACCTGGAGCAGGAATTGGCAAGCTACTTGGCACAGTATCTTTGCCAAGAAAACCCCATGAACAGAAACAAAACTATACCTGAAATACTTGGATATCCTGGACAACACAGAGAGTGTGGTTGCTGACCTTGAACCAGACTTCCTGGACAGCGAAGTCAAGTGGGCCTTAGAAAGCTTGGCTAACAACAAGGCCAGTGGAGGTGATGGCATTCCAATTGAACTATTTAAAATCTTAAAAGATCGTGAGGTTAAGGTGCTACACTCAATATGCCAGAAAGTTTGGAAAACTCAGCAGTGGCCGCAGGACTGGAAAAGATCAGTCTACATCCCAATCCCAAAGAAGGGCAAGGCCAAAGAATGCTCCAACTACCGTACAATTGCACTCATTTCACACACTAGCAAGGTTATGATCAAAATTCTCCAAGGTAGGCTTCAGCAGTATGTGGACCGAGAACTCCCAGAAGTACAAGCTGGATTTTGAAGGGGCAGAGGAACTAGAGACCAAATTGCTAACATGTGCCGGAAAAACATCTACTTCTGCTTCACTGACTACGCAAAAACCTTTGACTGTGTGAACCACAGCAAACTATGGCAAATCCTTAAAGAAATGGGAGTGCCTGATCACCTCATCTATCTCCTGAGAAATCTATATGTGGGACAGGATGCAACAGTTAGAACTGGATATGGAACAACTGATTGGCTCAAAATTGGGAAAGGAGTATGACACGGTTGTATATTGTCCCCCTGCTTATTTAACTTATATGCAGAATACTGTGGTGCCTCACTTAGCGAT